AGTGTTTCTAAGCGGATGCGACGAAATTTTATTACCGGGCATGTATATATAAGAAAACGCGACCAATAATAATAAATATATCCAATAAATACATACCATTAAAAATATAATATACCGAAATATAATATTCATAAATTGTCTTTTATTTTATTAAATTTCGTATCAGAGTATATAATATTTCAAAATTAATATTATAATTATAAGTGAAAGCAATGACCGACCAATAAATATAGAAATCTACAACCACTCCCCCAACCAATCGAAACATTCAAGACTACTGAAGTACGTAAGCCCCACAACTACCTCTTCTGTATTCTTATATTCATATTCATAATACAATTAATTAAATATAATATCTTATCTGAATGTATATATTGAATTCTTATGTCTTATTTAAATAATTCGTCCTAATTAATAACTAGAATAATATGATATTAATTCTCAGAGTATATAATTTCAGATAAGATTCTCGATAATGGATTTCGGATGAGACTATATAAATAATTTTTGCCTATCGATTCTATCGATCTATAACTTGATTTTAGATTTCAAAATCAATTCAATATGGAAATATAGTAATAGAAGTTGGATAGCAGAAGCACGATATGAACATGAACAGTTTCTTCTTGCCGAACCTTGCGGCCACGAAAAGTCTTGGACCTTGTTCAGGTGAAAACTCACGAGTACAGGAAAGAGGAAGCAATAGTGAAGGAGCGGGTTAGCCGCTGCATGCAGAGGCAAGGCCATGTGATGTCAGCTCCAACAAGTTGCAGCCACCTTCATTGTCAACAAGTTTGCTCCCCGTAACAAACCATTGCTCACACGAAAAGCTGTAAAGTTACATAGCTGCTTTCGTTGGTGCTTCACTTTCATGGCCCGCTCGCATTGCTGCTAAAGTCGCCTACACCTAAGCCTTCTCCGCCTGCCCTCATGACACTGCTACGGTACGGGTCCTCACCACCTGTGCAGTGCACGACGTGCGCATCTACTGCGGCAGGATGTTCATCTTCTCCTCCTTCAGATCCTGCGCAGGTCGCCCAAGCATCTGATAGCAAACTTTCGCCTTGCAAGTCCTTCAGCTCTGGCTCTCCCTCCGAATACGTCAGGGAGAGCCCGTTGGCTCAGTGTCGCTCGCCATTCGGGTTGGCCTTGCAGCAAAAACAACACTTGTTGAAACGGAGTGCCAGCATTCCGCACGGGGCCATGCAACTCAGAGCACACTTGGGAAAGCATACCTAGCGCCAAAAGTCCCTGAACCCTGAACCCAGAATCTGGAACCCCTAAACCCTAAAGCCATTAAGGAACTAACCCAACCAAGATGGAACGTGTCACTCAGGGTTTAGGTGGCATTTAGGCAGGCTTACTGATACTGACATTTCACACGGCTGGGGATGCAATGATTGTGCGGCTGCCGGTGGCAAAACCTCAGAGATAGCGCTGGCGTTCACGCACATAACACACTTGGTGAGACGAAGCCTGTGATTAAACACCGCAACATGAAGCTCTATGTTAGTCTGCATTTTGACGGTGATTGTTGGCAAAAGGGCTTTTCAAGCGTCTTGCCTCCAGAACAATGAAGCAAGGCATCAACGAATGCCGGTCATTTGAAGAGGCTTTCAGCTTGCACGTGCATCTCCAAATGTTGATGCGACACCACATGCAAGGTTAGGACGCCTCCGGCCTAGCTTTTGCAAAAACTCTTCAACCTCAGCCTCAAAAGCCTGATGGCGATTGTACAGTCTGATGAACGATGCATGTTGCAGCTCGTTCACAGCTTCCTCCTGCTCCAGCTTCTGCTGCAAATCCTCCACCAGCTCCCTTCGGAGCTCTGCAGCCTCACGGGCTGCAATCTGAATCGGCAACTCCGACTTCGCGGATTGCCATTCCTTTGGGGCCTTCTGCACCGGCACTACATCCAACTCCTCTCGGAGCTTCTGGTCGGTCGTTTCCCGCGCCCCAGCCTCACGGGCCGTTAGCCGGTAAGCTGCATGCTCCATGAGAGCGCTCGCAGTCGTGCCGCCGATGGAGCTCTGCTTCACGGGCTTGTTCCAGCTCCAAGCCTTGCGCTTGGAATGTGCGTTTCATCTCTTGCAGCTCGTCGGTAAGTCTTATTCTGTCCACAAGGAGAGCTTCAAAGAGGGCTGCCTCTGTCTGCCGCGCGTTTCTCTGCTCTTGGCTGAGCTGACTTCTCCTTCTCTCCTCTTTCAGC